AAATCCATTCAAAGGGGAATAGATAATCTCTTTCTCAAAAGGTGCTTGCAAAACTGTTTCTTCATTTGCAGAAAAATGAAACAAGATCTATACCACACACCACACACAAAAAAATAAACTCCAGATGGATCAAGGACTTAAATGTGAAACCTAAAACTATAAAGTTCACCAAGGAAAAAATAGGGGCAAATTTAGGGGCCCTAATTTATGGCATAAATAGTCTATCAAGCACAACTCAAGATGTACAAACAGCAGAAGAAAACTAGATGATTGGGACTTTCTAAATATTAAATCCTGTGTATCAAAAGACTTCTCTTAAAGAGTAAACAGAAAGCTTACAGAATGAGAAAAAAATTTCAGCAATGAAATATCTGGCAAAGGACTTATCTCTAAAATTTATATTAAAAAAAAAAAAAAAAAAAAACCTCCACACTTCAACATCAAAAAGAGAAATAGTCCAATTAAAAAATTAGCAGAAGACATGAACAGACACTTCACCAAAGAAGATATTCAAGCATCCAACAAACATAAAAATAAATGTTTGTGATCATCAGCCATTACCAAATGAGAAACCAGACTCACTGCCTTAGGAGTCAATTCCTACTCATATGATCCTTCCTTGGGTTTCCGAGGGGGTACCTCTGCGGAGTAGATTACTCAATCTTCCTTCTGAAGAGTGACTAGTGTGTTTGAACCACCAGCCTTCTGGTTAGCAGTCAAATTCCTTGGGTACTCCACCACCAAATGCAAGTCAACACACACACACACACACACAGACACAAACCAAAGATGATTAGTGTTTTATTAATGGTTACTAGAGGTAGGACAAGAGTGGGAAGGGGAAGCTTTTGATTCAAGGGCATTGAGTTTATGCTAATAGGTGGTGGAATATTTTGGAAAAGGATAGCAGTAATGGTTGCACAACATAAAAAAGGTAATCGATGTCTCTGAGCTGTAAATGTGGAAGTTTTTATGTTGATGAGTGCTTTCTTGTGTTTGTTTTCACTACAATGAAAGTAAAAAAAAAAGAAACATTTTAACATGATTGCATTTTTAAGGGAATTAAGATATTTTTTTATCTGAAAAGGGATGGATGTAGGCTCTTGGTCATCCTACTTCACTTTTTAAGATAAATATATTTCTCTTTACTACTTTTCATACCTTTGATACATTAATATCAATGCTGATCACTATTAATACTATTTAAAAGTAATTGTCTGAGCTAAAGTTTCTATCGTACATAATTCTATTATGACAAATCTAAGTAATATTTGAAAATTGCATCTCTAATCAACAATTCTATCAATAGATGTATAAAAAAAAGAGAGAGAGAGAACTAAAAACAATTGCTTCTAAGTACCCCATTATCATTAGTTGGATCCATGTTCAACTTCTCTCAGTACAGACTTCTGAGAAAGTTGACTCAGAGGAAAGAAAAGGTAAAAAGAGAAAAAACTGAGAAAAATAAGAGAAATATATTATCTGATTAATTGATGATTAATTGGTTGATTGATTATGGTATCACCTAAGAGTTGCCTCACTTTGCTCACCAGACAAGGAAATAGAAGAGTTAAAAGAATGATGAAGGTAGTATTACAGGAATTTACTTTAATGCCAATATATATATCTTTTTATTTGAAAACACCTGAAGGAAATAAAGCATAGCATAGATAGAAATTTTTTATATTAAAGAAGATAAAATGAAAAATATCTTTATATTTAGTAGTTTAAAGCAAAATTATTAATGAAAATGAGAATATCTGAGTAACAAAAGAAAAGCTTCAGGGATTACTCATGTAGACTTGGATAATTGTTTTGATTTCTGTAAAGAAATTTTGAAAAGCCATGTATAAAAGACATTAAATTAAGCACAAAAATACATTCATCATTCAGAAAAAAATGGATCAGAAATTTCTGTTCTCTCTATAATTGATAGTAAAGTACATATTCATATTGAATATTTCAGTTGAAATATTTCTTTTTATAAATTTCCTTTAAATATATGATATAGCTAAATCAACAATTCAAATCAAATAGTAGTGAACACAACCATATTTGATTCATTTGGGCAAAAGAAAGTTAAAAGAAATTTCCCAAATTCAAGAAAGGAAAAAATTGTGACCGAAAAAAAAAAAAAAAAAAAAAGAAAAGTCCAGTTTTGTCTGCTTGTCTACCAATAATTTGTAATACAAGCAACTTATGATAATGGATATTTTAAATTCAACCACATATTATATTGTATAATATTCTATTGAAGCTCTGGTAGCATAGTGTCTAAGGCACTTGACTGCTCACCAGAAGGCTGGCGGTTCAAACCCACCAGCCACTCCTCAGAAGGAAGGTTGGGCAATCCTACTTCCGTAGTGATACTGCTTCGGAAATCCAAGGAGGGGTCGCTATGAGTCGGGGCAGACTCGATGGCAAATAACAACACAACAACAACGATATTCTATTGAAGAAGTGCAGAAGTAGAGGTGAGAATGAAAAGTCTTCATCTCTCCTACTTTGGTCATGTATTCAGAAGGGAACAGTCCCTAGCGAAGGATATTATGCTCGGTAAAGTAGATCAAAAGGGAAACCCTCAAGAAGATAAATTGACACAGTGGCTTTAACAATGGGCTCAAGCACTGCAAGGATTGTGAGGATGGCAAAGGTTTGAGAAGTGTTTCGTTCTCATAGGGTTATTATGAACCCACTCAAGCACACCTAATAACAACAATAGTCTTTTATATTGTGCTGTGTATTACTAAATAAGAGATTCAAAAACCAAAATCCAAACTCACTGCTATTGGGTTTATTCTGACTCATAGGGACACTCCTTGGGTTTTCCAGGTGGTAAATCTTTACAGAAGCAGATTGTCCAGTCTTCCTTCCTCAGAGTGGCTGAGGGTTTTGAACTGCCAACATTCTTATTAGCAATCCAATGCCTTAAGCACAACGTCATCAGATCTCCTTAAAGAAGAGATTAAGACAAAAGAAATATTTTCATTATGGTTGCTTTCTGTATTTTTTTCAATAGCCTGAACCTTATGTGAAAGTCAAGAGTGTTTGGAGATGCCATCTGGAACCCTTCTAGAAGGAGAAGTGGTACAATATCTACAGGATTAGCAGAGAAAAGAGAGTTTTGTTTGTTTGTTTGTTTTTCACAGTGAAACCTCCCTAATGATATTAAAAGGCAAAACAGAGAAATGAAACTGTAGCTAGGATAAAGGACATGGTTAAAAATCTGGGAAAGGAAAGTAGAATGGGTGATGAATTAATAATATAATCTACATGTAAGTGAGTGGCCAGAAATTAAAATTTAGGTTACAAAGAGGATCAATAAGACAATTTTGAAAATTCAATCTCAATAATTATGAATAAGATAGTAAATTCCAATTAACAGAGCACAATCTATAAGGCCATTGCACAATTATAATGCTGGCCATTTAATACTTACTAACAGTACAAGGAGAAGTCCTTGAGGTGAAGTTGTAAAGTGCTGGCCTGCTAACCAAAAGGTCAATGGTTTGAACCCACCAGTTGGTCCATGGGTGAATCTCATGGCAAGCTGTTTCCATAAAGATTTACAACCTTGGAAGCTCTCTGAGGCAGGTAGTCCAGGGAATTATAATATGACCCTTTTAGCCAAAGTCTTTAAATTCCATCAAATGACTGGGAAAGATTAGTAAATATGAAGTGTTTGTGGTACATCAATAGGATTAGATAGATTGCTAATACTCTAAATAAGCACATGGCACTCTTGTGGTGGTGGGATCATGCAAATAAAGTATATGGAGGCTGGACACAAGGATTGGTCATTTTTAACATAATGCTAACTTTAAAATGAGCCATTCCAGAGTTGGAAAGAAAGATCTCACTACCATCAACAAAGAAAAGCTAGGAGTGGAATGCATCCATTGGTACAGAGATCCCTGTGTCAAACCCACTAGTTCCCGGAGACAGAGAGCTGTGACACTAAAGGCAGCAAGAGGTGGTGAGAATGAGTAGCAGAAAAATGGTGGTGACAAACCAGGAGACTCAATAGAAGACCAGGTAAGAAATGATGTGGAGGCCTTCTGTACCCTTGGAGCAAGAAAAGTGAGTGTCTTCAGGCAGGTTTGTTTTCAGAGTGTGGTGATTCTGGGCACTTACTTGCAGAGATAAAAGAGTTTTGTAACACTTGCATAAGCAGGACAAGGACTAAGGGGTCACAAGGCTGAGAGGCTAAGGGCAAGAGAAAGCTGTGATTACAGGAACTGCTGAGAGGAAGCTATCCTGATCAAAGAACTGTACCCTGAATTGTTTCTGATCCTGAATTATAACCTGTTACCTCCTTCATTAACCTATTATTGAGAGTATTGTCTATGAGTTCTCTCTGGACATTACAACAAATGACCACACCCAGTAGAGAAGTAAAGAATGCCATAGGGGTGACAGTGGATGCCAGAATTGGTAAAAAGTTGGAGGTGGAAGTATGCCTGACATCTGCCTCATAGGAATCAGCTTAAATTTGTTGATACCATTGTTGATCCCCTTTCCCCTTTGTAAAATTAGAGGTCACACGCTGCCCTCACACCATATTTACATATTTTAAGATACTCATTGGAGTTATGTTACTGTAATGCTTAAGGCATTTGACTGCTAACAAGAAGGCTATTGGTTCAAATCCACCAGCCACTCCTTGGAAGGAAGGTTGGGCAATCTACTTCTGTAGTGATATCTCCTTGAAAACCCAAGGAGGGGTCGCTATGAGTTGGATCTGACTTGATTGCACATAACAACAATAACAACAAGAAACTCACTGTGATCCGATAGGATCATTAAGAGTCAGAACTGACTCTTAATCAGGTTGTGCCAGTAGGTTTTTGGTATCAGTATGATAGAAAGGAGTATAGAAAATTTTGACAACACAGTTGATACATCTTATCATGTGTATGTTTGTGTGTGTGTCTGTAAACTTCTCTTCTCAAAAATTAGATAATTGATATTTTCAAGCATATGTAAAAATAACTAAAAAGCTGGTGTAAAGCAAACACTGTGTGTGCTACCGCTTAGGATGTGGACAGCTGTTACAGCCCTGTTGAGCCCCCTTTAGGCTACAGCTGTTACTGTCAGATACACTTCCAAGAAGACAGGTGGCAGCTCCAAAAACTTTGATGGAAAGTCATCCAGCAGGTGCTATGGCATCAAGAAAGTGGAAGGTCACTATGTTCATGCTGGCAGCATCCTAGGACCTCATTGCCAGTTCTGCTGGCACCCAGGAGCCCATGTGGGGCTGGGGAAGAAGAAGTGCCTGTATGTCTTGGAAGAGGGAATAGTCCACTACACTAAGGAGGTCTACATGCCCAATCCCAGCAATACAGCAGCTATGGACCTGATCACCAGGCTACCCAAGGGTACTGTGCTCTACAAGGCTTTTGTTCATGTGGTTTCCACCAAGCCTGAGAGCACTTTCAAACTGGTAGCTATGCTTTTAACTCTTAGTTGAAGCCATTGGACAGAGACTGGACCCCAAATGCCAGGATAGAGCATTACCAGAAGAAGTCAGGTTTGAGATGATAGAAGACAAGGCTTCCCAAGAAAGAGGTCTGCTTGATGGTGACTCTGCAGAAGTCACAGTGAAGTGACTGGCTGGAAAACCCTTTGGGGAGACCTAAGCTAGGCCAGAAATAAAGTTAGTTAAAGTCATGGGGGGGGCAGGGAAACTTACTATGCACCCAATGTGCAAAGGAAGTTTCCAAATATCAATGAATGAATATAATATGGACCATTTTCCTCCACCAAAAAACAACACAATTATAAATCAAACCAAGATTGCAAATACAACTCTTCCTTGTAGTTAGAAGTTAAAATTTAAAAAGGAAAACTGAACATTTCCATGAATCAAAGAAAACAATAATTTATTGAAATATTTAATATAATTGTAAATATAAAAATAAAATGTATCAATACTTTTAGGCTCAGCAATTGTATATTAGACAGAATTAAATTTCAAAATCGTTGCATTAAAAATGAGAATATTTGATAATTAATGGGCTCAGTTTACTAATCAGAAAGTTAGAAAATAAATTACAGAATGAAACCAAATGAATAAGAAGAATTGTATAGTAAAAATAAGAGTGAAAATTAATGAAAAGGGAAAAAAGAATCACAAACTTAAAACTGGATATATGTAAATACAAATAAAATAAGAAAAAGAAAATGAATTTGTCAAAAGTGTCCTATGTGGCTGGGAAGTTTTACAAACAATAATTGTAGCTGTCTAGGAAGAAACAAATCCATTGCAGTTGTGTTGATACTTGCTCCTAGTGACACTGTAAGACAGAGTAGACAATAATTGTAGCTGTCTAGGAAGAAACAAATCCATTGCAGTTGTGTTGATACTTGCTCCTAGTGACACTGTAAGACAGAGTAGAGTCTCCTAGGCTGTTAATCTTTACAGAAACACATTGTCACATCTTTCTCCGTGGAATAACTGATGAGATAGAATTGCTAAACTTTTAGTTACCAGCTGAATGCTTTAGCCACTGTATCATAAGGCATCCTTCTAGGAAGGAATCCAAATCAAATCAAATGCCCTACCCTCAAGTTGAATCTGACTCATAACGACCTCTCCTTGGGTTTCCAAGGTGGTATACTAAGGGTAAATTTGTAAAATTATTTGAAATTGTAATAATCACAATGCCTCTCACTTTATTATTAACCATTCTGAATGCCAAAATATTTGGTTTTCTAATGATTTTATACTGAAAATGAGAAACAGTTGCTGCACATAGTAAATTTTCAACATTACCAGTTGTGCAAATAAAGTATGCAGGAATTGAGTGCAACATATATGGAAAGAAACGTTAGATACCATCATTACTTGTATTAAGATTTATTTTCCACAGAGAAGATACATATTGCTCTTGATTTTATTTCAAGGATAATAAAGTTACCTTTTGAAATTTGCATGTCTGCCATTTTCTGAGAGTATCTGGGCCTCAAATAAAACAATCATTTAGAATAAAAAAGGATGGATAACATTTTATCATATACTGCACATCTAATTTATAAGTAAGACATTTGTTTGAATAAGACTTTTCAATTAATTATTTTGCACACTTATCTTTGACATTCTTTTATTCATCCAATTTTTTGTACCATACTCTTTGTATATCTTCATTGACTGTCATAAGCATGTTGTTGTTGTTGTGTTTGTCATTAGGTGCTGTTGAGTTGGTTGCAACTCATAATGACCATATGTACAACAGAACAAAATGCAGTCCATACTAGTCCATCCGGACCAATTGCTGCTATTTTTGAGCCTATTGTTTCATTCTTTCAGCCATCCATCTCTTTTCAATCCACCTCCTTGAAGATCTTCCTCATTTTAGCTGACCCTCTTCTTTATCAAGATGTATGTCCTTTTCCAGGGACTGGTCTCTCCTGATTGTATGTCCCAAGTATGTGAGATAAAGTCTCATCATCTTCAACAATAAAAAGCATTATGGCTGTACCTATTGCAAAACACATCCATTCATTCTTCTAACAGTCCATTGTATATTCAAGGTTCTTAAACAACATCATGATTCAAGTGCATCACTTCTTCAATCTTCCTTATTCATTGTCCAGGTTTCACACACATAAGAGTGATTGAAAATGCATCAGCTTAGGTCAGACACACTCTGTCCTCAAACTAACATGTTTGCTTTTTAACATTTTAAAGAGGTCTTTTGCAGCACATTTTCCCAATGCAATATGCTGTTTGATTTCTTGTCTGCTACTTCCATTGATTATGAATCCAACTAACAGGAAATTCTTGACAACTTCAATCTTTTCTCCATTTATCATGTGGTTTCTTTTTGGACTAATTTTGAGGGTGTTTTTTGTTTTTATGTTTGTTCATTTTTTAATAATGCTGAGTTAATCCATACTGAAGGCTGTAGTCTTTGACCTTCATCAGTAAGTGCTTCAAGTGTTCTTCACGTACAACAAACAAGGATGTATCATCTGCATCACAGGTTGTCTTCTTGCACACCTGATGCCACACTCTTCTAACTATAGTCCAGGTTCTCAGATTAAATAACATTAATGTACTCAGCCTACAGATGGAATAAGTATGGCAAATGGGTACAACCCTGACACACACTTTTATTTTAAACAGTAGTATCTCCAGGTTTTGTTCAAACAACTGCCTTTGGTCTATGTGCAGATTCCACATATACACAATTAAGTGTTCTGTTATTGTCATTCTTCTCAACATTGTCCATAATTTGTTAAGACTCACACAGTTGAATGCATTTGTGTTGTCAATAAAACATAGGAAAACACATTTCTGTATTCTTTGCTTTCAAGTAATATATAGCTAACATCAGAAATGATACTCCTTGTTCCGTTTCTTCTTCTGAGTCCAACTTAAAATTCTGGCAACTCCCTGTCCATGCACTCCTGCAAATGTTTTTGAATTATCTTCAACAGAAATCTACTTACACATGACACTAATGATAATTGTTCAATAATTTCTGCATTATGTTGTATCTTATTTCATAGGAATGGACATGAATATGGATCTCTCTAATTAGTTGTCAAATTTCTTGTCAGAGACAACAGAGCACTTCTTATATTCATCTGTTGAATCATGTTAATTGGTATTCAATAAATGTTTGGAGCCTTGTTTTTCACCAATGCTTCTAGTGGCCTATGGACTTCTTCCTTCAACTCCATCAGTTCTTATTAATATACAACCTCTTGAAATGCTTGAAAGTTAGCCAATGCTTTTTAGTACAGATTCTCTGTATTCCTTCCATCTTCTTTTGATTCCTTCTGAATCATTCAATATTTTACCCAAATTGTTGCTGTTGCTAGGGGCCATCAAGTCAGTTCTGACTCATAGTGATCCTATGTCCAACAGAACAAAATACTGCCTCATCCTGCCACAGCCTCACAATTTTTGCTGTACCTGAGCCCATTGTGGCAGCCACTGTGTGAATCCATCCCATTGAGGACCTTCCCCCTTTTCACTGACCCTCCACTTTACCAAGCATGATATCCTTTCCCAAGGAATGGTCAATTCTGACCATACAACCAAAGTAGGTGATACAAAATCTGGCCATTCTTGTTTCCAAGGAGCATTCCATCTGCACTTCTTCCAGAATAGATTTGTTAACTCTTCTGGCAGTCCATGGTACTTTCAGTATTCTTTGCCAACACCACAGCTCAAGAGCATCAACTCTTCTTCAGTCTTCCTTATTCATTGCCCAGCTTTCACATGCATAGGACTCAATTTAAAATACCTTGGCTTGGAATAGGTACATCTTAGTTTTCAAAGAGACATCTTTGCTTTTCAGCACTCGAAAGAAGTCTTTTGCAGCAGATTTGCTCAAACATAATACGAGCTCTGGTAGTGTAGTCAAGCCTAAGGGACTTGATTGCTAACCAGAAGGCCGGAGGTTCAAACCCACCATCCACTCCTCAGAAGGAAGGTTCAGCAATCTACTTCCATAGTGATACCACCTCATAAACCCAAGGAGGGGTCTCTAGGAGTCAGGTCTGACTCGATGGCACATAACAACAATGACAATACATCCTCTGATGTCTGGACTGCTGGTTCCATTGGTGTTGATTGTGAAACCAAGTAATACGAAGTCTTTGACAACTTCAATCAATTCTCCCTTTATCATAATGCTGTTTATTGGTCCAGCTGTGAAGATTTTCCTTTTCTTTATGTTGAAGTCCTATCCATACTGAAGACTATAATCTTTAATCTTCATCAGTAAGTGCTTCAAGTCATCTTTGCTGTCAACAAGCAAGGTTGTGTCATTTGCATATTGTAGGTTGTTAATGACTCTTCCTCCAATCCTGATGTCATGTTCTTTTTCATATAGTCCAGCTTCCTGGATTATTTGCTAAGCACACAGATTGAATAGATATGATGAAAGGATGCTACCCCATCTTACTTTCTTCCTGATTTAAACCATGCACTATCCCCTTGTTCTGTTCAAATGACAGCCTCCTGATCTATGCGCAGCTTCCTCATGAGCACAATTAAGTGTTCTGGAATTCCCATTCTTCACAATGTTATCCATACTTTGTTATGACCCACACAATCAAATGTTTTTACATAGACAATAAGACACAAGTAAACATCATTCTGGTATTCTTTGTTCTCAGGCAAGATCCATCTGACATCAGCAATGATATCTTTGTTCCACATCTTCTTCTCAATCTAGCTTGCATTTCTGGAAGTTCTCTGTCATTATACTGCTGCAACTTTTTTTAATTATCTTCAGCAATTACTTACTTGTGTGTGATATTCATGATATTGTTTGATAATTTCCACATTCTGTGGGATCACCTTTCTTTGGAATGGGTACAAATATGGATCTCTATGGGAGCTCTGGTAGAGTAGTTCCTAAGGCACTTGACTGCTAACCAGAAGGCTGGTGGTTCAAACCCATCAGCCACCCCTTGGAAGGAAGATGAGTAAGTAGATTTTACTTCCGTGTG